TCGGCGATGCGTCTGCGTTCCATGTCTGGGGATCTCGGGCGTTTGTCCGCGACTTGTCTGCGGACAAGCTGTCCCCTCGTGCTGCTCCCTGTGTCTTCCTCGGCTTCCCCCCTGACGCCCCAGGGTGGCAGTTCTACCACCCCTCCTCTCGTCGTGTTCTGTCCTCCCAGGACGTCACGTTCGACGAGTCAGTCCCCTTCTACCGCCTCTTCCCCTACCGCACTCCTTCCCTCCCCCCGCCACCGCACTTCCTTGTGCCAGGTCCCCCCCCGGTAGACCCCCTTCCCCCTCAGGGTCCTGCCCCTTCAGGTGTGTCCCAGGTAGACGCAGTCGAGCCGGTCGAGGTTGCTGGTGACTCTGGTCCTGCTGCGGGTGCTGAGCCTGGGGGTGCTGACTCTGGGGGTGCTACGCGCGTGGGTGCTGAGCCTGGGGGTGCTGAGCCTGGGGGTGCTGAGTCTGGGGGTACTGAGCCTGGGGGTACTGCGACTGGGGGTGCTGAGCCTGGGGGTGCGGAGTCTGGGGGTGCTGAGCCTGGGGGTGCTGCGACTGGGGGTGCTGAGCCAGGGGGTGCTGCGTCTGGAGCTGCTGAGCCTGGAGCTGCGGAGCCTGCGGCCACTGGACCTCCCCTTGTGGCGTCTGGCGGTGCGGGACCTGGCGGTTCTCCGGGTGCTTCGCCTCGGCGGGAGCCCCTCTCTCCACAGGAGCTGCGCGAGTGGTTTGCTCGCCGCTGGAGACGTACTGCTGGAGCTGGAGCTCCTTCGGCTGCTGAGGGTACTTGTGCCGCTGGACCCGGAGCTGCTGGGCCCTCGGGTCCGCATGGAGCTGGAGCTGCTGCGGGTGTTGGTGCTGAGACTGCTGCTGTCCTTCCTGGCGGTGGTCCTGCTGCGGGTGCTGCTGGTGCTGCTGGAGGTCCTGCCGCTGGAGGTGCTGTTGGCGCTGGTGCTGCTGCTGAGGGTGCTGTCCCTGCTGTGTCTGGAGTCGCCGCGCGGCCTCGGCCGTACTTCGTTCCACTCCTACAGCAGGTTCTTGGTCTTTCTCCTCCTGCAGCGTGTCCACCGCCTGTTCAGTCACAGTCCCAGTTAGAGCCCGCCTCCCCACTTCCTGCTCCCTCTCCTTACACTGGTCCCACTGGAGGTCTTGCTGAGCGTCGTGAGCATGCGTCTCGTCCTGCGTCGCCTGTTCGTGCTGCTCGCGCTAGTGGTCGCGGTTCGCGTCAGCGTCCTCCTCCTGTCTCTGGCACGCACCGGATGTCTTTGCGTCCGTCCACTGCTCCTCTGCGTGCCCCTTTGCCTTCTCCTCCTGAGTCCTCCCTTCCTGCACTTACCGACCCAGAGTCCGACTCTCTTCGTGCTGCTAGTCCTACTGTCACACGTCTCCTTGCTACTGTCGTCACTGACCCCTCTTTTGAGTCCACTGCTGCGTCTGCGCTTGTTGCTGAGCTCGTCGACTTTGCTGCTCGCTGTCGTCTAGACTACGCTGCCGGTCTTGTTGCTGAGTCTGCGTCTGTCTGTCCTCCGTCCGTCGGGGGTGAGTGTGCTCTTGGCACGGACGTCCTTGAGGACAGGCAGGAGGAGTTCCAGTGTCTGGCTGCTGCTTCACCTCATCTCGCGTCCGTACTACTTGCCCCTGAGGGAGACCCGGATGCACTAGACATCCCGACTCCGCGCTCTTACGCGGAGGCCGTAGAGGGTCCCTACTCCTCTCAGTGGCAGGCAGCTATGGATGCAGAGATGGCGTCCTGGAAGTCCACAGGCACCTACGTTGACGCGGTGCCCCCTCCTGGGGCGAACATCGTCAGTGGCATGTGGATCTTCAGGGTGAAGCGGCCGCCGGGCTCTCCACCTGTCTTCAAGGCGCGGTACGTCGCTCGTGGCTTCAGTCAGCGGCAGGGAGTTGACTACTTTCAGACCTTCTCTCCCACCCCGAAGATGACCACTCTTCGGGTGCTGCTGCACATAGCCGCTCAGCGCGACTACGAGCTCCACTCTCTTGAATTCAGCACTGCTTTCTTGCAGGGTAGCCTGCACGAGGAGATCTGGCTGCGCCGTCCACCTGGCTTCACTGGGACTTTCCCTCCTGGCACCCAGTGGAGCCTCCGACGGCCAGTCTACGGTCTCCGCCAGGCACCGCGTGAGTGGCACGACACACTGAGGACTACGCTTGCGGCTCTTGGGTTTGCTCCCTCTACTGCTGACCCGTCGTTGTTTCTGCGCACCGACACTTCTTTGCCGCCGTTCTACATCCTCGTGTACGTCGACGACTTGGTCTTTGCCACAGCTGACACTGCTGGACTAGCCTACGTCCGAGCTGCAGAAGAGACACACGTGCACAGACCTGGGTGAACTGCGCAGCTACCTTGGCTTGCAGATCACTCGGGACAGAGCACGCCGCACCATTACCTTGACTCAGTCACACATGGTGCAGCAGGTCCTTCAGCGCTTCGGCTTCACGTACTCCTCGCCTCAGGCCACTCCTCTGTCTACTCGCCACTCGCTCTCAGCTCTGCCTTCGGATGAGTCCATAGAGTCGAGTGGCCCGTACCCAGAGCTTGTTGGCTGCCTCATGTACCTGATGACCTGCACACGACCTGACCTTGCATACCCTCTTAGCATTCTTGCACGCTATGTTGCTCCTGGGAGACACCGACCAGAGCACATGTCTGCAGCGAAGAGGGTGTTGCGCTACTTGTGCAGTACGTCGGGCATGGGGCTAGTGCTTGGAGGGCGGAGTCCAGTGGTCCTCACTGGGCACGCGGACGCTTCTTGGGCTGACGACCAGGCTACGCAGCGGTCGTCGCAGGGTTACACCTTCAGTCTTGGTTCCGGCTCTGTCTCGTGGCGGGCTACTCGCTCGTCCTCTGTTCTCGGCTCCAGTTGTGAGGCTGAGATCTACGCCGGGGCCATGGCTGCACAGGAGCTTCGCTGGCTCACCTACCTGCTGACTGACCTTGGAGAGCAGCCTCGTTCTCCTCCAGTGCTGTACGTAGACAACAAGGCCATGCTGGCCTTGTGTCGAGAGCAGCGCTTGGAGCACAGAACGAAGCACATTGCTCTCCGTTACTTTCTTGCTCGTGAGCTGCAGCAGCGTGGTCAGTTGCGACTTGCGTACGTGGCCTCTGAGGCCAACACTGCGTGTGTTCACCAAGGCACTTGCGCCTTGTGACCATCAGCGCTTCTGCACTCAGTTGGGTCTTGTACCTGTCTTGCCTCACTTGCTCTCCTCTTGACCTTGCTTGTACTGTCACATATATATACCTGCTCTTGCTTGTCTAGCTCTATATATATATGTGTGTCCTCCTGCATGTGAACTGGCCTTGTGGCCTTGTCGTTGTGCTCGGACTGTGTGGTGACTTTGTGATCCACCCTGAGCTTGCTGTGCTTTGCGTGACTGGTCTTGTGACCCCTTGTTCTCCCCCACTTTGCCTATGGGGGTGTGTCAGAACATTATATAGCTTATGCTGTTGTGTAGGCTATAGTGGGGTATCCCATAGGGGGTACAACCCAATTAGGGTTTCCTATATGTACTCACTTCAGTCATAGTTCATCCATTTTCACGTTCTTCTTTCCACAGAAACTGCTAAATATGAGACATACCGAAACATGCTGTTTAACATGCTATGCAAGAACGGACACTATACTAAAAGATGTATCCAAAACAGACAGAACGGAGTGAAAGCGAAATATGCAAGACTAAGGAAGTACAAAAACGGATTGGGAGAAAAAGAAGCCGTGAAGGAAAGGAACTTACAGAGAACGGAACCAAACAGACATATAGGTTACATGACGGATGATATACGACGATAAAGATTGGAAGAGAAAAAAAGAGTATGTACATACGAAAGAAAGGAACGAAGGAAGAAATGAATGACAGGGACAAGTACAGCATAAACTAGTAGCCAGATCAGAAAGTACAAGAATAGCATCCAAGAATAAGACCCATATGAAGCAATTTCTAGGAGGAAAATTTACACTTGACGTGCTTAGGCTTCTAAATACGCCATAAGAGCAAGATCTATCGAACTGTATCATGGGTCGTTGACAACTAAAAGACAATCACATGCTCAGCTTAGTTTAGCCTAAAGATTACAGGAAATGCTTAAAACTTTACTAAGAGCTTAGAACCTAAGGACGCGATTACGACTAGGATACGCGATTACGGTTAGACTAGCTTGTAACTACTATCTTAGTTCTACTTAATAGCCTTGGGTTCTGACCTGTTAGTGGTAGGTAGATGCAGCGTGACTAGCGGGAGTACGTTGAGAAGAGCTCCAGCAGCGAGAGGAAAGCGAGAGAGGAAAAGAAGAAATACAAACCTTAAGGTAGTGTCGATTTGTTCGCGCGTAACCTTTTAGATAAATTGATATTTCTTGTCCTGACAGGCGGCCGTAGCTCAGCTGATTGACGCTGAGTCAGGAATCGAAAGCTCGCGGGTTCGATTTACCTATGTGCTTTTCAAAGCCTGAACTGAATAGTTTGACCTGAGTTTCGGTGTTACACCACTACACCTTGTTGTACAAAAATAATAATAACTTAGGGTTGCAAAACGCTTCGCAACCCTGCGATGACTACGACGTCGCCTCTTGTTGCTCTTGAAGGGCATAAATTTGTGAGGGAATTTAAGTGGTTGTATGGAAGAATCCTCCGTGCAATAGACGCAGCACATGTCATGGAGGAACCATTTGCGGGATGGTGTTCAGGCAAAGCAAAACACACATTCCCATCCCAAATCATGCGACAAATTGCTTTGCCCACACACACCATGCCTCCCACATCCATATCATCATGCTCCTCATCCTCAAAACCTCCTCTTGAGACATCTTAAAGGCCACTCAGTAATCACCAGCCAGCCACTCATCAATGAACACATAGCCCCACCCCGCCTCCTCCCAGAACCTGCTTCCCCACCTCGACCCCTACTCTTCCTCCCATAGCCCCCTACTCTTGCTCCCATTACCCCCTACTCTTTCTCTTATTACCCCCTACTCTTCCTCCCATAACCCCCTACTCTTCCTCCCATAGCCCCTCCATTTCATCGCTCTCTTCATTCCCCTCGTGAGCATCCATGAATCCTCCCTCCCCCTCGTTATAGTCACCTCCTCTCCCCTCGTTGTAGTAACCTCCTCCTACTCCTCTTCCTCCTCCTCTTGCCCCTGCAGCACCAAACCCTCCACTGCTGTGCCCAAAACGGCCGCCGCTGCCCTCTCTGAAGTCACGATCGGAATAGTCACCACCAGCACCAGTACCATCACTATCATCCCCATCATCATCACCACCACCACCACTACCACCACCATCGCTATAACCAGCGCCAGCAACACCACCACCACCATCACCACTACCACCACTGTAACCAGCAGCAGCACCAGCACCACCACCACCACTCACCCCAGCAGAAAAAACAGCATAGCCCTGCCCACCCCCACTTCCCCTCTCTGCTCCTCCCCATCCTCCTTCCCTCCTCCCCTCTCCTCTCTCTGCCTCCCCTCCTGACATCACCCCTGTAATTCTCCTCCTCACTCTCCTCCTCTTCACCTTCGCTTCTGCAAAAGGTACTCCCCCACTCCCCCCCTCCCCATCGCTCCCCTCCCCTCCCCCAACTCCTCCCCCTATTGTTCCGCCCACTCCTCCCCCTCGCCCTTCTTCCGTCCCCTCTGCTCCCCCATCCCCTTGACTGCCAATAACTGCAATGTCTGCAACCTTTGCCCCCCTCCCCCTGCCTCTCCCCCTCCCCCTCCCCCTCCCTCTCCCCCGCCCCCCTCCTGCCCTCCCCGCCCCTCCTCTCCCCCTTCCCCTCCTACCACCCCCTCTCCCCCTCCCACCCCTTCCCCTTCCCCTCCCCCCCTCCACCACCCCCTCTCCAACCCCCACCCCTCCCTCCCCACCCACATCCACACTCTCCTCTCTCTCACTCTCATCCACCCCTAACACTTCCACCCCTTCCTCCTCTCCACCTCCTCTCCCCTCCTCCCCTTCCCTCCTCTCCACTTTCAATCTCTTCCTCTCCCTCCTCTGCATCAGCCTCTCAGCCTTCTCTGTTAAAATCTCCTGGGCGTCCCTCCCCTGCTCAATCACCTGAAGCCACTGCGACTCACTCAGCGCATCCGTATAAACCACCTGCTTCCTCTTCCTCCTCCCCATCTCCATCCCCGCTCCATCCTCCCCCACTCCCCCCTCCCCCCCCCTCCCCTCCCTCCCCCCCCTTAAAAAACACCCACTCCGGCACCTCGTCCTTTTCCATCAGTCCAAGCCGCGCCGCCCCAAACTGCCGCCTCCGCATCTCATCCATCCGCTCAAACATCTCAAACTCCTCCTCCGATCTCGAGATCAGCCGATTCGTCTCACTCTCATCCGGCAAATCGGGAGCCAAATCGGGAATCTTCCCTCTCTTCATAATCTGCTCCAGTAGCTCTCTCCTCTCCTGAGCCGTCGACGTGGTATTGAACATGCCCGCTTGAATCACCTTCGCATCAATTCCCATCTTGCCTTTCGCCCTCTCTAGAATCTCCTCCTCTATAGACCCCACGCTCACAAGCACAAACACCCGAACCTCCCGCTTCTGCCCGATCCTGTGTGCCCGATCCTCTGCCTGCTGATCCATCTGTGGATTCCAATCAGAATCAAATAAAATCACCGTATCGGCCGTTTGCAGGTTCAGCCCCAGGCCGCCCGCACGCGTGCTCAGCAGGAAGATAAAATACGGCGAATCCGGAGCGTTGTACAGCTGTAACAGGCGGCCTCGTTCGTCTGTTTTGGTCATGCCGTCCAGACGCAGATAAAGCATGCCGACCGATCGTAGGTAATCCTCTAACAAATCCATCACCTTAGTCATCTGAGAGAACATTAAAATCCTGTGCCCCCCGGCCTGTAACTTGGGCAGAATCCGGTCCAGCAGCTCAAACTTTCCACTTGCCCGAACGCGCTCGTTGGGGGAATTCGGCTGGTAGGGATGGTCGAGTGCGTCTAGTAGAAAGAGGTACGGGTGGTTGCAGCACTTGCGCAGCTGCATGGCTGTGTTCTGAAGCGCTCTGGATTTGCCTCCTCCCCCGCTGTCGTCTAGGCCGACGCAGCCGGCGGAGACGATTTGGGAGTAGTACTCGCGCTGCCATGCGGACATGTCGCATTTGAGGATCACTTGGCGCTTCTGTGGGAGGAATTTCTCGACTTCGGATTTTTTTCGACGGAGAATGAAGGGACGGATGACCTGGGGAGAAGGGGGGAGGAGAAGGGGAGGAGAAGGGGAAGGGAGGGGGAAGGTAGTAGGATAAGAAACGGAGGGCAGTGGAGACGTGAGGAGAGAGGAAAGGAGGGGGCGATTTGGGAGTAGTATTCGTGCTGCCAGGCGGACATGTCGCATTTGAGGATGACTTGGCGCTTCTGAGGGAGGAATTTCTCAACCTCTGAATTCTTTCGACGCAGGATGAAGGGCCGGATGACCTGTGGAGGGGGGAGGAGAATGGGCGGGGAAAGGGGGGGTTTTGATGGTAGGGGAAAGGGGGAGATCACTCGTTGGCACTTCTGAGGGAGGAATTTCGCAACCTCTGACTTCTTTCGACGCAGAACGAAGGGCCGGATGACCTGGGGGGGGTGGGGGGTCGGGGGAGTGGGGGGAAGGGAGGGTAAACGAGGAGATGAGTTGCAATGAGTTCACTTGTCGCCACTTCTGAGGGGGGGACTTCTCAACCCCAGACTCCTTTCGACGCAGGATAAAGGGATGCATGACCTGTGTGGGCCGACGGGGGTTAAAGGAAGAGAGGGAGGGTTGGGGACAGGAGGAGAAAAAAAAAAGGGGGGGAGGGAAGGAGGAATGGAACGGAGGGGAAGGGCAGGAGGAAAAAGATCGGAGTCAGTCACATTGCACTCATCCGAACACAGTGCATTAAAACCTTAAGAAAAAAGGAGATCAACCCACCTGGTGCAGCCTCCGAATGACCAGCAGCTGCTCCTGCTCGTTCAGAGACACGTCACACTTATCCCTGTAACAAGGGTGGCTTATGGATAACCAAACCCAAACACGCCTGCTTTGCAACCAGCCAGGTCAAACCAAACGCACCTGGTGCAGGCGTCAAATGACCAGCAGCTGCTCCTCCTCGTTCAGAGACACGTGGCACTTATCCGCAAACGGCGCATTACACCTACCTACCAACACCAAACCAAACGCACCTGGTGCAGGCATCGAATCACCAGCAGCTGTTCCTCCTCGTTCAGAGACACGTCGCACTTATCCGCAAACGGCGCATTGAACCAGTCCTCGAATGTACCACGCATGCTTCAAACCAGTCACACCTGTTTTTCCTGTGTTCCTTTGTTGCTTTGTGTTCTTTTCAGGAAGAAGGGAGAGGGGGAGGAGGGGGAGGGGGAGGAGGAAGAGGAGAGGAGGGATGGAAACATTTCAGAATAAACCCACCTGGTGCAGCCTCCGAATGACCAGCAGCTGTTCCTCCTCGTTCAGAGACACATCGCACTTATCCGCAAACGGCGCATTGAACCAGTCCTCAAAATTGTCGCTCGAGTTGAAAATTGCGGGCAGAAGAAAATTCAGCAGTGCCCAGAGCTCCCCGAGGCTGTTCTGAATCGGCGTCCCGGTCAGCAAAAGTCTTTTCCGGATCGAGTAACCAGCCACCAGCGTTTTACTAAGTACCGACTCGTGGTTCTTAAGCCGGTGACCCTCGTCTACTATCACATAGTGCCACTTAATCTTTTTTAGGAACGCCTTATCCCTGATAATAAGGTCATAGTGCGTCAGAAGCACACTGAACTTATACTCTTCCCCTTCTGGCCCAGTCACTCCCCCTCCTCCCCCCACTCCCCCCGCTCCCCCTCCTCCCCCAGACTCCTCACTCCCCCAATCATCATCCACCACACTCCCTCCTCTCCCTCCCCTCCCTCCTCGCCCTCCCCCCCTCCACCCGCCCCTCCTCCCTCCTCCTCCTCTCCTCCCTGCAAGCGCCCCTCCAAACTTCTCTCTCAGAAGCTTCCTCTCGTCCTGCCTTCCATCATACATCACCACACTGCAAGAGGGAAACCACGCCGCAAACTCCACTCCCCAGTTCGGAAGCACAGCCTTGGGAGCCAACACCAGATGCGGCCCGTAATCCCCCTTTTTCTCCGCCATAAACGCGATAAACGCGATCGTTTGTATGGTTTTTCCGAGCCCCATTTCGTCCGCCAAAATGCCGTTTAAATTGTTATTATAAAGGGAGACCATCCACTGTAACCCCTCCATCTGATACTGCCGAAGCTGCCGCCCGGGTGACAATAGCGAGGGCTGCTCCGTCACCTTCTCTTCTATCGAATGCACTGCTCGATCATACCGCCTCTGCCCCTCCATTAAGTCACGCTTCGACTGCCCTGCTGCCCCCTCCTGCGGCCCCTCTTGCCCCTCTCCTGCCCCCCCTCCCTCCCCTCCTGCTCCCCCATCCGCCTCTGCTGCTCCCCTCCCCTCACCTCCCCCAAAAGCAACATCAACCCCTCCTCCACCCCCCACACCACCTCCCACACCACCCTCCCCACCACCACCCCCACCCCCACCAGCATCTTTCTGTTTCTGAACCATTGCCCCCAGCCTCTGTAAAAGCTCATCCGTTTTCCCTAAAAGAGTATGCAACCTCTCGTTCTTACTCTCCTCCACTAGTTTGAAATACGCCTCCTGATCCCCAGCTTTAAGTGCCTGCACTCGCATTCGCTCAGCACGCGACGCCCGCTGCTTCTGACGCGCGTGCCACGTCAGCACGCCGTCGCTCCGCTGCTTCCGCCGCCGCTGCTCCGCCAGGCTGGCCGCTGACATGTCGCGCCCCGCCTGCGCCACGTCAGCGAAGAACCGGGCGGCGGATTCTACCGAGTCTGCCGCCCGACGGGCCCGTCGAGCCGCCTTTGGAAAGGAAAGGGGGAAGATGGGGGGTGGGGGGAGATGAGGTTGGGAAAAAGGTTGGGGGAGGTAGAGTAGTGGGCGAATGGAAAGGGGGGAAGAGCACGGAGGGGAGATTGGGGAGGAACAAGGGATGGCAGCTTGAATCACTATTGAAATCACAAACACCAAAATACAGAAAAACTGACCACACAACAAAAAACACATCTCACAAATAGGGGAAAAACTAAACGACAAAAAAGTAAACAAAAAAACCACAGACAGGGTGATAAATCAACCACCAAACCCACCTCAATCGCCTCAGAAGCTTCAAAATCCAAATCCAAAACCCCGCCAACACCAATTCCATTAACACCAGCCCCACCACCAGCAGCCCGAGCAGCCGCCGCCGCCGCTGCAGCATCCCTCTTCCTTGCCTCTATCTCAAACCCGAACCCCTCCTCATAGTAATCCTCGTCCCATAAGTCTTCCACCTCAGCCTCCACCTCCCACGCCTCCACATCCTCCTCTGATGGCTTCATGCCAGGTGGCAGCTGCCACCTCAGCATCGCGCGTTCCACGTCAGCATGCGTCAGACGCAGCAGGCTCCAGTCCAGCAGCGGCTGGTGCCGCCCATGTGCCACGTTGGCATTCATGATTCTCTCTTCCTCCTCCTTTCTCACTCGCTTCTCTCTCTCCTTATCCACTTTCTCACTCTCATCCCCCTCTCCCAATACCTCTATCTCACTCTCACTTTCAACTGCTCTCCATTTCTTCCCCACCCGCCCACTTTCCACTGCCACATCATCTTCTACCACTTTGACTGTATCCGATTCGTCATCAGCCAGCTCAGCACGTGCCACGTCAGCATCTGCCACGTCAGCATGCCCGTTCACCGAACGACCAGTCAGCTCCCCGCCCGAAGCCCAGTCAGCGATCCTCTTCTCAGCCAGCACCTCAAAACGAACCTTCCTCTGCAACCCACGAAGCTTCAGGCACCTGAGCTGGATCTCCAATGATCTCCTGACAGCTGGCGCCTGCACAACCGCCAGCAAGGATTCCAGTTTCACAATCCTCTCTCCCACTTTCTCACTCTCCTCCCTCTCCCCTTCCTCCACGAGCTTCCCCCACTCCCCCTCTCTCACCATCTCCCTCCCCACCCTCACTCTCTCCTCTGCCGCCCGCCTGATCCTCCTGAGCGCCTCGACCTTCTGACGCACCAGCTGCGGCGGGAAAAGGCCCGCCAGCTGGCGGTCCGTGAGTGGCTGGCCAGCCGCCAGCGTGGCGAAGCAGTCGCGCTGCGATTGGAGGAGGGAGAGCTGAGCTGGCGTGAGGGATAAGGGAGGGGCGGCGGGCGTAGGACTAGGAGGAGGAGGAAAGGGGGGAGGGAGGTGTGAGGATGGAGCAAGAGCAGCAGGAGGGGGATGGGGTGGAGGAAGAGGAGAGGGAAGAGTATTGGTAGCAGAGAGGGGTTCTGCAGCAGAGACAGGGGCATGAGCTGGGGGTGGCGGTGTGGGCAAGAAGGAAGATACTCTGGTGGCCGCATCAGCTGGTGCGTCAGCAACAGGTGAGTCAGTAGTATCCGCAGCAGCACCCACTCCAGTCTCTGCCTTCACAGCAGCAGCAGAGATTTGAGCTGACTCGGGAACCTCAGCATCGCTGGGCAACTCGAGTGAGTTAACACCAGCTGTCACTTGAGCGTCCAGCTGAGCGTCAGGCAGCTCAGCACAGCCAGGAACACTCTGGGTTACACCCTGGGTTGCACTCCGTGTTACAGCCTGTGTTACACTCTGGGTCGCACTCTGTGTTACAGCCTGTGTTACACTCTGCGTTGCACTCTGCGTTACAGCCTGTGTTACACCCTGGGTTACGCTCTGTGCTGCAGCAGCCTTGACTGGTACACTTGCCACATCCAGCACAAGAGGCCTCTCGTGAGTAGGCACCTGCTGCACAGCAGTGCTCTCTGTTGATAGTTTGTCAGTCGACTCAACAGCTGCCGTGTCCTGTAGAGCAGTCTTGAGTGCTGGGATCTGCATTACTATGCCATTCGTTATAGGCACGTCTGCTGCTGCCGCTGGTGCACTCACTGCAGCTGCTGCTGCGACATCAACAAGAAGAGGAGTGGCAGCAGGAGCGGAAGCAGGAGCAGTTGCTAACAAATCCTCGCGTGCACTGTTTTCGTCAGCTGCTGCTGCTGCCCCCTCCTCCTCATGTGGCCCCTCTCCCTTTTTCTCCTCTTCCCCCATTGCCCCTATTTCCATCCCCTCGTCCCCCTTCTCTTCTTCCTCCCTCGCCTCTCTTCCTGTCTCCTCTTCCCCCGCCTTCTCTCTTCGTGTCACGTCGTCCCCCTTCTCACCGCTTCCTGACTCCGCTTCCTTCATCTCCTCATCCCCATCATCCATTTCACCCGTCAGTTTTCTCCCCTTCTCCTCTGCCCCCTTATCTTCTCCCCTCTTTTCCTCTCCCCCCTTATCCTCTCCCCCCTTATCCTCTCCCCCCTTATCCTCTCCCCCCTTATCCTCTCCCCCCTTCTCCTCTCCAACCTTCTCTCCCCCCTTCTCCTCTCCCCCCTTCTCCTCTCCCCCCTTCTCCTCTCCCCCCTTCTCCTCTCCCCCCTTCTCCTCTCCCCCCTTCTCCTCTCCCCCCTTATCCTCTCCAACCTTCTCCTCTTCCCCCTTCTCCTCTTCCCCCTTCTCCTCTCCCCCCTTCTCCTCTCCCCCCTTCTCCTCTCCCCCCTTCTCCTCTCCTCCCTTCTCCTCTCCCCCCTTCTCCTCTCCCCCCTTCTCCTCTCCCCCCTTCTCCTCTCCCCCCTTCTCCTCTCCCCCCTTCTCCTCTCCCCCCTTCTCCTCTCCCCCCTTCTCCTCTCCCCCCTTCTCCCCTTTCAACTTCTTCCCTCCACCCTCATCCTCTTTCCCCATCTCCTCATCCCCCTTCTTTTCATCCCCTTTCTCCCCATCCGCCATCTCATCCCCCCCTTTCTCTTCTTGATCTTTCCCTCCCCCTCCTCTCTGCTCCTCCTCGCCTCTTTCTCCCCCCACTCCTCCCTGATCCACTCCACACCCACTCGAAGGAGAAAAATCTCCTCTATCTCCCCCCTTAATGTCACCACTGCCTGTTGCCGCCTCTCCGGCCACTTTTTCAATTCCCCCCAAACCAGCACCTTCCCCATCCCCTTCCCCTTCCGCAAACGCGCCTTCCCCTTGTCCCTCCACCAACGCGCCTTCCCCTTGCCCCTCCGCCAAAACGTCTTCCGCCCCTACTGCCACCACTTCCCCCTCCCGCTGCATTGGGGGAGATCCGCCCACTCCCACGCCCTTCCCCTCACTTGCTTCCGCCCCTCCCCCACCCTCCCCGGCGTCCCCTTCCCCCACTGTTTCGGCGATTCCCCCTTCTCCCGCCAATTCCGCTCCCCTTCCGGCATCTGAACCCAACCCACCACCCGCAACACCAGTTCCGCCTTCCGACGGACCTTCCGCCAGGCCTTCCGCCAGGACTTCCGCGGGCCCAACCGCAGGCTCCGCGGAACCTGCCGCGGAGCCCTCCGCCGGATCCATTGCGCCTGGCCCTCCCTTTACGTCGCTTTCCTTACAAGACTCGCGCGAGTGATTTCAAAGTCTCTCAAACGTCTCGACCCATAAATCACTCTCCTCAGTCTCGAATGCTCAGGTCGACGGGCCGTGGGGACCTTGAGGACAATAAGAACCAACTGTAAAACAAAACGTCTTTTATTTCCGCCTTTAAGAGATTAATTTTTTGAGGCGCCTCAAAAGGACAATAAGAACCGAATGTGAAACAAACGTCTTTTATTCCCGCCTTTAAGAGATTAAGGATCCGCTCGGTTGATTCCCGTGGTGGAACGCGAACGCCTCTGCTAAGGGGGAATATGCTGACAACGATCGGTGAAAACAGAATTCAGAAACTAAACAGAAGTTCCTGAAAATCTTCAAAACACCCCGCGCAAGTCGAGACTAGTGGCTCAAGCTCGTGCCCCTATCCGAACCGAGGTCGTCAGGTGGAAGGTTAACACAAGCGGGAGTTTGCAGCGGCCAATCGTCGCTGATCCACCATAGCCAAGAGGCAACGCAGAACTACCGAAGTGCTTTTGCCTACAAGCGTGTTTGTGGTTCGATAAAAACCAATGGCGTGACCTTGGGATTAGGTCAAAAGTGCTTTTGGCTTCAAATTCAAACAGACGTATCAGCCAGAGGTGACGGGTCAGCTAGTGGTAACCTATGCGAAGACTGCGTTTCGCATCGCAACCAACCACATTGAAATTTCGATTCGCGAAAAAGAATGGCAGCATCCTCGTAAGTACATCAATACAATACCCGTGTTATTTCGATAATGAGACAACGCAATTCCCGAAGGATGGATCTTTACATCACATTCAGAAATACATTGTTCTGTCAGTCATTATGAGAGCAACGCAATTCGGACACTGGTTGAATGATGCATGGATGGCACGGTTTACGAAATGGAAGCTCCTTGGAAGCGATGTATGCAAGAAATCCCTCCCCATTTGAATGCTGCAATCGATGGTGCGACAGATGGTGTTGAGAGTGATGTGGGCAGGTTGTTGGTGCTCGTGGCCCCTTTGGGCTTGCTGGGTTGAGAATACTCCAATGAGGCTGATAGCTGATCCAAGTTTCGCAAGGCAGCATAATCCCGAACCTGCAGGCCAGGAAGACAAGGGAGACAAATGCATGCTCAGGCTTAAAAAAAACAATGGGGAAAACTAATAAAAAACAGGAATAAAACAAAAACAAAACAAAACACATTCGAAGCCATACAAGTCGGCCTACACATGCACGCGCCTCCTGACTCACTTCAAAAGTCGACTCGAATCTCCCCTTCCCCGGCATCACAGCCCTACACTGCTGCCTTCCCTGCCCCTTCCTCCCCTCCCTCCTTTCCCACCACCACCACCACAACCTCCTCACTCCCCCCCTCCCCATCCTCCACCGAATCCTCCACCTTCCTCCCTTGCAAACCCTCCTTCTCCACTCCTCCCTCCTTTACCTCTCCTTCCTTCACCCCGCCTTCCCCTGCTGCCTCCACCACAGCAGCAGCCTCTTGCACCAACGCCACCTCCCCAGCAGCAGCACTCGCTTCAGCCGCAGCAGCAGCAGCTTCAGCCTTCATCCCCGCCTCAGCCTGCAACACCACCCCGTAGTACGCCTCATTCCCCTCCATGCAGGTCTTGAGCGCTTCAGTGGGCCCCACACACCGGTCCACTATGCTCTCCCCGGCTTTTTCTGCTGCCTCCACACACCCCTCCCATGCGATAAACTCCTCCCTGCACGGGCCTCCCTTCATGAACTGGCAGAACGGGCAGTCATCTGTACTGTCCTCTCCCTCTCCTGCCTTCTCCTTCCCCTCACCTCCTCCCTCTTTCACCTCTTCTGCCAAAGTCTCCCCCAACGCACTAACCGCTTCACCCACCTCTCTCCCTGCTTCCTCCACGCTCTCCCCTGCCTTTGCCACCTCACTCACCACCGCAGCCACCACTGCTTCCGCCTTCTCCTCCGCTTCTCTCGTCAACTCCGCTCCCTTCGCCTCTAGTTCTTCCACATACCTCGACAGAACATCCACAGCATCAGCAAGAGGAGGTCTCTCGAGAATTTCCTCCGCTTTCTTTTCTACCTCTGCTTTCACATCCTCTGCTTTCTTCTCTGCCTTTGCTCCTAGTTCAGCAACCACGCCTGCTACAGCATCCACAGCGTCGGCTAGAGGGGGGCTTTTGAGAATCTCCTCTGCTTTCTCTTCTGCCTTTGCCTCTAACTCAGCCACATAGCCTGCGAGAGCATCAACAGCGTCAGCTAGAGGGGAGCTCTTATCCTCCGTTTCACCTTCTCCCCCGTCCACTACCACTGTTACGATTATTTCCTCCGGGCCTGCGTCTGCCGAGCCTGCGGCCGCCGAGCCTGGAGACGATTCAGCTTCGGCAGGTTCAGGTGCGGCGGCATCACTTGCTGGTGTGGTGACTGGTTCGGAAGAAGCCGAATCTGTGGGGGCGGCTACCGGTGATGCTGATGCTTGTGGTGCTTGTGGTGCATCTGATGGTGGTGGTGCTGATGATGGTGCCGGGTGGTGGGACTTCGCTGCTGCGGAGGAACGGCGGTCTGATGGAGGGTCAAAGAAGGAGAAAGAGAGCAACACAGGGAGTAAAAAACACTGACCGACTCACCGAATGAAAGACTCACTGACAGGCTGGCTGAAGACTGGCTGAGGGACTAACGGACTGACTGGCTAACCTGTCTGGTGACTGACGAACTGACGGACTGACTGACTGACGATTGTTGGTTAACAGCAGCCAACGGCACAGTGGCCCATTGTTTACTAGAAGAAAAGAGCCGTCGTACCTGAGAGAATGCGCTCCCCAACGAGCCCAGCCAACGCGAGACCGGCGGTCAGCAGCACGAAATCTCGGCCGTCCGTCGTTCCGAACCTCTTCTGAAGCGACTCGACAAACGAGGGGATCTCCGCTCCCGCCTTAGCTGCCACCTTGGACGATCCTGACGCAACACCTGAGGAAACTCCTGAAGCTCCTGTTGCTGCAGAGCACACGGTAGTCGTCGACGCGAATCTGGCATTCTGGCAGCTGATTGGCGCATCGCGAACGGGACGCGAAAGAGACTCGACGGTTCGAGTGGCTGCAGCGTCCAGTCTGGCCCGGATCTCGCTTCTTCTCCGGATGTGCCGCGCAGAGGCGGAGGAGAGGAAGCGGAACATCGGGGGAGAGCGTGTAAGGCGGAGAGTTTGTGGAGTGGAGAGTTTGTGGAGTGGAGAGTGTGTGGACAGGAGAATCCGAGAGGTCCAAATGTGCGAACAGGATAGGTAACCCTGTGCGATCGGTTACTTCGCCGGAGAAAAGGGTCGAACGTCCTGGATTCGCAGAAGGAAGATGGATCAGGAAAGGGCGATCGAGGGTGGAGCTGCAGCTGAAGCAAGATCGGTGTTTCGTGCTGAGCTTGCCTGAGGCAGGTGGGAATGCACATGGGGGGATAAGGGAGAAGAAAAACGTTGGTGAGATGACCGCACTTACAACGAAGCTGCGAGCTTTAAGCAAGCTGGATAGCGAATGAAGGTGCAGGTTGGAAGACTGTGATCTAACGGTTCATAAATCAGGCAAGCGATCAGGGACACCCCTGGATCGTTAGCTGAGTCGATCGGATACCCGTCGACAGGAGTGGCACGGATGAGGTTGAATAACCTAGTTAATATGCGATTACGGGCCGCCAGTACAACTAGGATTGAGTCAACTCAGATATATACGGATCCGACAATGCAATAAGCTACTGCGTAGGTTGGATCGCATCGTCCGCGTCTCGGATCCTGAAATGGCCTCTAAGTCGACAATAAGGAGGCGAAACAAGATCGCATGGAGATTACCGGAGAGGTGACGAAGGGTTTGTATGGCTGAAAGGCAGGATCGGATACAAAGAATAGTTTCAGGAACAGACGGATGAAAAGCGATCTGTAAGAAGCGTTAAACACGCTCTTTCTCACCTTGAAAACGCGGAAGGCGCCTACACGGAAATCGACTCGGATCTGCCTCCACGAGAAAGCGGCTCGAACAAACAGCCTAGTAGAAAGCTGGTCGCACGAGCTTGAGAAGCAACACCCGCAAAACTCACACCCTACGCCCTCTCTCAAGAACCTACTGGAAGAGCTACGCGCACTTCAAAGCTAGAATAGCTACTTAGCTTCTAGCTTAGTGGTGGTGGGGTGGGGTGGTCTAAAATTCATGGCTGTGACAAACCATTGCCTGGCATGTAGCGATGGTTGTTCCGTCCAGCATGGAATATCATTTCCTAGTTACCTGGGATCCCCTAACGCTTAGAGAAATTATGGGCATACAAGTCAACTAAGAACGTAGAAATTATCCCAGAAGAAAAGGGTGAGGTGCTGAATGCAATCAGATGAGTCGGAAAACCCCAACCCTGAAGGAACGGAAAGTTTTTAAACATTCTGTGAGGGGCGCGGTCGAAAATACATCTTGAACTTCCGGCGTTCCAAAGATCTCGGGAGGGAAAATATGTCACAAGTAACCAGCATGGGACTCGATGACGTGAATGGTAAAAAAGTAACGCGTACGGTCAGTGTATCGGGTTTGCTGACGGGTTTGGTAAGTGGGGTCACGGATTCAATCACTAACAACAGGTTAAAAATCACGCGAATGGTCACACATGTAACTCCCGCCAAAACTTCTTGAAACTCTACAGAATTCCCGCTCGCGCCCAACCAATCAGCTAACTTATAAAAAATATAAAACCCAATCGGAATCGGATACGGTTTGGGAACGGATCAACCCTAAACACCTGGCGAATTGTGTTCAGGGCTGATTCATCCGAAAAAATGCATCCAGGTTCGTTTTGGGTATTACCTTTTTTCGGCGAGAGTTTCGTCTGTGACCATTCGCGTTTTTTTTTTTCCCATTTGATTGTGACTGATTCCGTGAAACGTTTTCTCAAACATGTGAAAACACCCTTTGCAGTGACCGTACCCGTCGTTTCTTTACCAAACATATTATCGAGACCCTTCTTGATTACTAGTCGCATATTTTCCCATTTCGGGAGACTGGCGATTCGTCTACTGTAGTTTCCCAGGCTGTACATGCATAAAGGTATTAGTATAACAGTTAAAAACAAATTGTTTTCTCATCTATGAGAGAGAACCCCATCTTTTATCTCACACCAAGATCTCCATTGAACAGCCCTCAAAATTAGCTAGGCGGGAAACTATAAACGTGTGGCCCTTTATTCTGCAAGAGAGACTTGCTATAGTCTCTGTGCACCACTATTCATAAGCCATAACAACCATAAGGCTGGATCCCATGTGGTACACCCAGTCTCCATTATTACAACACACCTCCAAGCAGACGGACTGCTAACTCTCATAACACATCCCCTTTTGTAGCCTTCTCCTTAACCAGCAGGAGCACCGCCGCACACATTCTTCCCGGCCGCTGCCTTTTGAGCGATTGGCTTCAGCCGCACCATGATATCATCAAACTTGGGGCGGTCCTTGGGGTCACTGGGAAGCAAAAAGAGAGTGGAGAGGGGAGAGGCAGTGGCATGGGGCTGAGTCAGCTGGAATGAGCAATTGGCTTCAGCCGCACCGTGAAGTCGTCAAGCTTGGGACGCTCCTTGGGGTCACTGGGAGACAAGAAAAGGGAGACACGGGGTGTGTGCAGAGGGTGTGGGCAGAGGGCGGGGGAAGGCGGTGTGGCTTTCTAGTATAGTCGACCCAAGCCCGCCACAGAGCAACCACGATATCGTCAAACTTGGGGTGGTCTCTGGGGTGACTGGGAAGCACAAGGGAGAGATATGGGGTGTGGGCAGAGGACGAAACATGGGGTGATTTCTGAGTCTGCTCAGTCTTTCTTCAGCAAATCAGCCGCAGCATGATATCATCAAACTTGGGGCGGTCCCGGGGGTGACTGGGAGGCACACAGCGGGTGGAGTGTGGAGACATGGGAGTGGAGAGGGAGTACATGAGATGTGGGCAGCGGGAGTGACATGGGTTGTGGACGGAGGTGTGAGATGGGTTGTGGGCAGAGGAACTTACTTGTGCCAGCAGTCGAGGATGAGTGTGGAGAGAGCCGGGTCGAGGTCAGGAGGGACGGTGAGGCGTTGGTTCTGGAATCCCACTGCTCCCACCACCTAGAATACGAGAGATAAGGGAAGATGGGGGAGGCGGAAGTGAGGGGGGAGAGAGGAGAGTTGGCGCAGAACGGAAGACACTAGTCAACCTAGAGAGTCTGGGTTGGAGGTCAGGAGGGACGGTGAGGCGTTGGTTCTGGAACCCCACTGCTCCCAGCACCTGGGGTAGAGGAGAGAGAGGAGGGAAATGGAGGGAGAGGAGTCAGAGCGGGTAGTGGGGAAGGTTGGAGCAGAATGGACGACCTGCATGCCTGCATGGGGTTCTCGCATCGCATCACATCACATCACATCACATCACATCCCATCGCATCGCACCGCACCGCACCGCACCGCACCGCACCGCACCGCACCGCATCGCATCGCATCGCATCGCATCGCATCGCATCGCATCGCATCGCATCGCATCCCATCGCACCGCACCGCACCGCACCGCACCGCACCGCACCGCACCGCACCGCACCGCACCGCACCGCACCGCACCGCACCGCACCGCATCGCATCGCATCGCATCGCATCGCATCGCACCGCACCGCACCGCACCGCACCGCACCGCACCGCACCGCATCCCATCGCACCGCACCGCACCGCACCGCACCGCACCGCACCGCACCGCACCGCACCGCACCGCACCGCACCGCACCGCATCGCATCGCATCGCATCGCATCCCATCCCATCCCATCGCATCGCACCGCACCGCACCGCACCGCACCGCACCGCACCGCACCGCACCGCACCGCACCGCACCGCACCGCACCGCACCGCATCGCATCGCATCGCATCGCATCGCATCGCATCGCATCGCATCCCATCCCATCCCATCCCATCGCACCGCACCGCACCGCACCGCACCGCACCGCACCGCACCGCACCGCACCGCACCGCACCGCACCGCACCGCATCACATCACATCACATCACATCACATCACATCACATCACATCACATCACATCACATCACATCACATCACATCACATCACATCCCATCCCATCGCATCCCACCGCACCGCACCGCACCGCACCGCACCGCACCGCACCGCACCGCACCGCACCGCATCGCATCGCATCGCATCGCATCGCATCCCATCCCATCCCATCCCATCGCACCGCACCGCACCGCACCGCACCGCACCGCACCGCACCGCACCGCACCGCACCGCATCGCATCACATCACATCACATCACATCACATCACATCACATCCCATCGCACCGCACCGCACCGCACCGCACCGCACCGCACCGCACCGCATCGCATCGCATCGCATCGCATCGCATCGCATCGCATCGCATCGCATCGCATCGCATCCCATCGCACCGCACCGCACCGCACCGCACCGCACCGCACCGCACCGCACCCCATCACATCACATCACATCACATCACATCACATCACATCACATCACATCACATCACATCACATCACATCACATCACATCACATCACATCACATCACATCACATCGCATCGCATCGCATCGCATCACATCACATCACATCCCATCGCACCGCACCGCACCGCACCGCACCGCACCGCACCGCACCGCACCGCACCGCACCGCACCGCACCGCATCGCATCGCATCGCATCGCATCGCATCGCATCGCATCGCATCGCATCGCATCCCATCGCACCGCACCGCACCGCACCGCACCGCACCGCACCGCACCGCACCGCACCGCACCGCACCGCACCGCACCGCACCGCATCGCATCGCATCGCATCGCATCGCATCGCATCGCACCGCACCGCACCGCACCGCACCGCACCGCACCGCACCGCATCCCATCGCACCGCACCGCACCGCACCGCACCGCACCGCACCGCACCGCACCGCACCGCACCGCACCGCACCGCACCGCACCGCACCGCATCGCATCGCATCGCATCGCATCCCATCCCATCCCATCGCATCGCACCGCACCGCACCGCACCGCACCGCACCGCACCGCACCGCACCGCACCGCACCGCACCGCACCGCACCGCATCGCATCGCATCGCATCGCATCGCATCGCATCGCATCGCATCCCATCCCATCCCATCCCACCGCACCGCACCGCACCGCACCGCACCGCACCGCACCGCACCGCACCGCACCGCACCGCACCGCACCGCACCGCATCACATCACATCACATCACATCACATCACATCACATCACATCACATCACATCACATCACATCACATCACATCACATCCCATCCCATCGCATCCCACCGCACCGCACCGCACCGCACCGCACCGCACCGCACCGCACCGCACCGCACCGCATCGCATCGCATCGCATCGCATCGCATCGCATCCCATCCCATCCCATCCCATCGCACCGCACCGCACCGCACCGCACCGCACCGCACCGCACCGCACCGCATCGCATCACATCACATCACATCACATCACATCACATCACATCCCATCGCACCGCACCGCACCGCACCGCACCGCACCGCACCGCACCGCACCGCACCGCATCGCATCGCATCGCATCGCATCGCATCGCATCGCATCGCATCGCATCGCATCGCATCGCATCGCATCGCACCGCACCGCACCGCACCGCACCGCACCCCATCACATCACATCACATCACATCACATCACATCACATCACATCACATCACATCACATCACATCACATCACATCACATCACATCACATCACATCACATCACATCACATCACATCACATCACATCACATCACATCACATCACATCACATCACATCACATCCCATCGCACCGCACCGCACCGCACCGCACCGCACCGCACCGCATCGCATCGCATCGCATCGCATCGCATCGCATCCCATCACATCCCATCGCATCACATCACATCCCATCGCACCGCACCGCACCGCACCGCACCGCACCGCAGCACAGCACATCACATCACATCACATCACATCACATCACATCACATCACATCACATCACATCCCATCCCATCGCACCGCACCGCACCGCACCGCACCGCACCGCACCGCACCGCACCGCATCGCATCGCATCGCATCGCATCGCATCGCATCGCATCCCATCCCATCCCATCCCATCCCATCACATCCCATCGCACCGCACCGCACCGCACCGCACCGCACCGCACCGCACCGCACCGCACCGCACCGCACCGCACCGCATCACATCACATCACATCACATCACATCACATCACATCACATCACATCACATCACATCACATCACATCACATCACATCCCATCCCATCCCATCGCATCGCATCGCACCGCACCGCACCGCACCGCACCGCACCGCACCGCACCGCACCGCATCGCATCGCATCGCATCGCATCGCATCGCATCGCATCCCATCCCATCCCATCGCATCGCATCGCATCGCATCGCATCGCACCGCATCGCACCGCACCGCACCGCATCGCATCGCATCGCATCACATCACATCACATCACATCACATCCCATCGCATCGCATCGCATCGCATCGCATCGCATCGCACCGCACCGCACCGCACCGCACCGCACCGCATCGCATCGCATCGCATCGCATCGCATCGCATCGCATCACATCACATCACATCCCATCGCATCACATCACATCCCATCGCATCGCACCGCACCGCACCGCACCGCACCACATCACATCACATCACATCACATCACATCACATCACATCACATCACATCACATCACATCACATCACATCACATCACATCACATCACATCACATCACAGACATACCCGCATAGGGTTCGAAGTTTGAACATATAGGCATGGGGTTCATATCACACTTTTAAACAAACAGGCATGGCGTTCCCGCGTACCAGCATGGGGTTCACACGTACCTGCATGGGGTTCATGCCATCCCACATACCTGCATGGGGTTCATGCCATCCCACATACCTGCATGGGGTTCATGCCGTCCCATGGCTGCAGCAGCGTCACCAGCTCCCACAGGATCACTCCAAAGCTGTACACATCCGACTTCTCATTGGACGGCTCGTTTCGCAACACCTCAGGCGCCATCCACTCGGGCTGAGGAGGGGAGGAGGGGGGCACACACGGGGAGGGGCATTGACAGAACGAGTGACTCAGTGCGGGAAAAATAAGAGGCATTCACAGAGTAAACGATGCCTGAGGCGGGCATTAACAGTGGAGGCTCGTTGTGGTGCAACACCTGAGGCGCCATCCACGCAGGCTGAGGAGGAGAGGAGGGGTTGGGCAGGTATGGACGGGGAAGGAGATCACAGATACAGGGACTTTAAAGCTCTGCATGTTTGACTTCTCATTCACACGTCTACATGCTTGAGACGCATGCATGTGCAAGGGTAACATGCATGCACATGCACGGATAGCAAGCATACATGTGTGCACGTCTGGATGCATAACATACCATGCTTGCACATGGTTTTATTCACGCCTCACCATGCCTGCAAGCCTGATTTGGAGGAAAGGAAGGTGAGGCGTTCCACGTGGTCTTGTTGCGCAACATACCCAAATGGCTTATTGTTCTGAATAGGCCTCACACCTCCACGATATGCATGGCTCACCGCACCTGCACACTTTTGAGACGTCTCCAAAGAGACACACGCTATGATCGCCTCGCATCACATGACACATACCGTTCCGGCGCCCGATTTGGAGGAGAGGAAGGTGCTGTTCTTGTTGCGAGATAGACCAAAGTCGCAGACCTGCCAGGGAGCAAAGCGGCCACACATGTCCAGAGAAGAGTTGTCATGTTATTGACAGTCTGTGAGTGTCTCCAAAGGGTTTTGAAACGACTTCAAAGTTTCAGACCTGCCAGGGAGCGAAACAACAACACACGTGCAGACAAGATGCTTCCACTTATAAATCACAAGGCAGAACTAAAAAAAACTGAAAGCCGAGAAGTTCAAATAACATTTTCATTTTTCATTGCTTTGTTAAAAAAAAACTATTGTTTCATTTTGTTTCCAAATAACATGCATGCCCTTTACCTTGACTGTGAAATTTTTGTCCACGAGTAGGTTGGGAGTCTTGAGATCGCGATGCACAATCATGGGCGTGCAATGGTGCAGATAGTTGATGCCTCGCGCCTGGCAGGGTGTGGCATGGGAGGGAGAAGGCGGGTTGTGGGGGGGGAAGTTGGGGGGAGGGAGGAGAGAGAGGGGGGGAAGTGGGGGTGTGGGAAGGGGTGGGAAGGGGTGGGAAGGGGTGGGAAGGGCCGAGGGGAGGGTCAATCAAAGAGAAGGGGAGGCAGGGAGGGGCTTCTGAGTCAAAACAACAGGCATGAAAGATGATGGTTGGGTTGACTCAAAATATGATCGTGCATGATGTGCATGAATGGGGATTGTGCATGGTTGTTGTGAAGTGGTGCATCTCCCCACCCTTCCCCACCCCTTCCTTGATCGGACTGTGCCACAGTCCACTAAGGTTTAACCCATGCCAACCGCCCATGCCATCCGCCCATGCACTCTCTTCCCATTCACCTCCCATGTCCCCTCACCCAATCCCTCCCCCCACCACCCACCCACAACCCATGGTCATCATGGGGATGCGTCGATTCTCCTAAAGCACCTCCTTTGCCCCAACAACTCAACGTGTGCGGCGGTCTACGGCAGGCTTAACACGCTGAGGCTCCTTGAGTGTGCACGTGTGTGCAAAGGGATGTGGTGTGCCTGGCATGGCTGCTTACCCCCTTTCGCACACCACATCCCTTCCCCCATCCTCACCCCTGGCATCCCTCCCCCACTTCACCCCAAGTGTCCACGGTCATGGGGATGCGACGATCCTCCTAGAGCGTCTCTATTGCCCCCGTTCCCCCTTCCCAATGCACCACCCACAGAGCAACCCCAATCGCTCGTGATCCCCCCACACTCTCCCTCCCCCTTCTCTCCTCCCGCTTTCTCTCTCTTCCCCCCCACCCACAATATCCATGGCCATGCAAATGCGCCGGCCCTCCTTTAGCGTCTCCTTTGCCCCCGTCTCATCTTCCCCCCCCCCCCCCCCCCCCCCAATGTACCCACAGAGAAATCCCAGTCGCCCATGAACCCCCAAAACCCCACCGTTCCACACTCTCCTCCCCTCCCCTCCCCCCCCTTCACACACAATATCCATGGCCACGCGAATGCGTCGGTCCTCCTTTAAGCTCTCCTTCAGCCCACCGCACCAACCCAATGCACCCAGGGAACCAACCCAATGCACCCAGGGAACCAACCCAATGCACCCAGGGAACCAACCCAATGCACCCAGGGAACCAACCCAATGCACCCAGGGAACCAACCCAATGCACCCAGGGAACCAACCCAATGCACCCAGGGAACCAACCCAATGCACCCAGGGAACCAACCCAATGCACCCAGGGAACCAACCCAGCCCGCCTATGAAACCCCTCCCCCCCCTCCCTTTTGCCCACTCCCTCCCCCCTCCCCCTTCCCCCGAACCCACAATATCCATGGCCATGCGAATACGTCGGTCCTCCTTCAACGTTTCCTTTGCCCCTGGCCGATGCAGCAGACGAAACAGACTTCCCCTGGAGAGGGGAGAGGTGGAGGGAGAGGGGAGGGGAGGGAGGAGGGACGAGGGAGGAGGGAGGAGAGGGAGGAGAGGGAGGAGAGGGAGGAGAGGGGGGAAGGGAGGAGAGGGAGGGAGGTGGCGAGGGAGGAGAGGGTATTTGAGAAAAATGGACGGACGGGTATATTGGAGATGCAAGGAAGGAAGAGTATATCTGAGAATATTTCAGTAGAATCAAGAGCCACCGAGGAAATCTGTGAGCATGGAGAGGCTTGGTGACTCTTTTAATCGACTCTAAAGCAGGTAAACGCCTGACAGGCACCACCCATCCTATGGTCGGGGAGCCTATTTTTTGAGCCTGTTTTTTCCTACTTGCTTAAGCCTAAACCTAGGCACTGCTGCTCACTGGAATTATGTCAGAGGATCTCTCAAGCAGGTAAACCCCTGACAGGCTCCACCCATCCTATGGTCGGGGAGAAAGATTCTCACCTGCTAAGGAACTCTGTGAGGATGGAGAGGTGGGGCGGCTTGGTAACCGCTCCCATGAAGAGCACTATGTTGGGATGGCGCAGACGACGCATGATGACCACCTGCGAGAGAAGGGGGGCACGGGGGAAAGGAAATGTCAACCAATTCAGAGGGGAAGGTAAACAAAGTGAGAGGGCTTGGTGAGTGTTGCTCCCATGAAGAGCGCTATGTTGGGATGGGATGGCGCAGACGACGCATGATGACTCCCTAAGAGGGAGGGGGAAGGAGAGGCGGGAGAGAGAAGTGACAAGAGAGGAGAGAAGAGGAACCTCCTGAACGTTATAGATCGGAACAGCCAGAGGGTGTTTGAAGTTGACTCAAAACACGTTATTGATCGGAATGCAAGAATAGCCAGAGGGTGTTTGAAGTGTAGTTTTGAGACATCTCAAAACAAATAGCCAGAGGGTTCAGTAAACAATGTTGGGCTCGGATCAAGCAGCAGCCGCCGCTACTGCATCTCTCCTGCGTCGACTCGACTCAAAGACTCAAAGGCCATAGCATGCATCATTATAGTCAGGAGCACACATCTCGTTGATTACAGCCGCGTATATACCTCTCATTCGAACGCATACCGCTAGTTTCTCTCGCATCAAAGCTCAGATTTGTTGTACCTCTTGCATTTCTTGATCATTCGTACCTCTCGTTTGAACTCCAGCAGCTGCTCCTCCTGCATGTCCTGGTTGATCAACACCTTTGATATAAGCATGCATCTCATTATAAGCATGCACCTCGTTGTAAGCATGCACCTCATTATAAGCATGCACCTTGATATAAGCATGTGACTCAGTCACCCAGTGGCGTACCTCTCGTTTGAACTCAAGCAACTGCTCCTCCTGCATGTCCTGGTTGATAAGCACCTTCACTGCCACATCCTGTGTGCGTGGAGGAGCCGAGAGATGAGAAAAAAGTGGTGCGCAGTGCAATGTGAGGAAGGACGCGCATATCACGGCGGGTTTGCGCTAAGAAGCAGAAATAAGACCGCTGGGGATGAGAATCCACGCAGCGGAAAAGTGAATGCCAACGAGAAGAGGAAATGATGAGGCTGTTTTTGAGTCGACTCAAAAACAGGCTGTTTTTTAGTCGACTCAAAAACAGAATCCACGCAGTGGTAAAGTGAATGCCAACGAGAAGAGGAAATGATGAGGCGAAAACGAGGAAGAGAGGAGGGTGGGAGCAGGTGAGGAGACAAGGAGGCGATAGGGGGAAGAAGGGAGGAGGGGAAGAGGAGCGGGAGACTCACACAGCCAGCCCACTCGGCGCGGTACACCGTACCGAAGGAACCTGGCAAGACACAGGGGCACGAAAAAATGGACGCGAGGGGGGTGGGGAGGGGGTGAAAGGGGAAGGGGTTCAGTAGTGTGCGGCCTGAAGAGTGACTAGGAAGGGTGGCTAGGAAAGGTGGTTCTGAAGAGTGACTGAAGTGCTTTGAGAAGCTCAAGGCCTGTAATGTGGTTTACCTGCACCGCATCTGACTAGCACAGACCTCACCTGCGCCCACCCTCTCCCCCATCTCGATGTCGTTCCAGTCAATCTCCGCCTCGCCAATGTCCATGATGCGCCCATCCATCAGCACATCCAATCAGACACCTCTCAACCGCACTGCACCGCACACCACCTCCCTCAACCCCCTCTCACCTGCGCCCACCCTCTCCCCCATCTCGATGTCGTTCCAGTCAATCTCCGCCTCGCCAATGTCCATGATACGCCCATCCATCAGCACATCCATAAATTCCACTCCTGCATCCGCCGCCTCGTCGTCTGCTGGCGGTGCCGCCTCCTGCTTCGGTGCTTTCGCCTGTTGGTGGGGTAAGGGAGGGAGAGGAAGGTTGAGGGGTGTGGAAGGGTCGTCCATCCATCACCACGTCCATCAACTCAACACCTGCATCCGCCGCCTCGTCGTCTGCTGTGGATGCTTCCACAATCGCCTTGGGCTGGGAAAAGGGGGGAGGGGTGCCGGGGTGGTGGGTGGGGTGGGATGGGGCGGGGTGGGGTGAGGTGGGGTGGGGTGGGCCTCAACCCTCAAACCCCAATGTCCATGACGCGCCCATCCATCAGCACGTCCATGAACTCAACCCCTGCATTGGTTGCCTCGTCTTCTGCTGCTGCCTCCTGCTTTGGCGCCTCAGCCTTGGCTTTGGGCTGAGGGAGAGGTGAAGAGGGGGAGGGTGGGTGGGGGGTGGGGCAGGAAGGGAGGAGGGGAAGAAGGGAGGCAAGCAGAACGCAAGGGGTCAAGGGCTCAGCCCGAGTTGTCCATGAGCTGCCCGAGTTGTCAGATCCCAACCCCCGATGTCCATGAGCCCAGCCATCCATGATGCGTCTGTGAACCCCATGAGCCGCATAAAACGCATGAACCCCATGAACCCCATGAACCCCATGAACCGCATGAACTGCATGAACCGCATGAACCGCATGAACCCCATAAACCCCATGAACCGCATGAACCCCATGAACCCCATGAACCCCATGAACCCCATGAACCGCATGAACCGCATGAACCGCATGAACCCCATGAACCCCATGAACCGCATGAATTGCATGAACCCCATGAACCCCATGAACCGCATGAACCGCATGAACCGCATGAACCCCATGAACCCCATGAACCCCATGAACCCCATGAACCCCATGAACCCCATGAACCCCATGAACCCCATGAACCCCATGAACCCCATGAACCCCATGAACCCCATGAACCCCATGAACCCCATGAACCCCATGAACCCCATGAACCCCATGAACCCCATGAACCCCATGAACCCCATGAACCCCATGAACCCCATGAACCCCATGAACCCCATGAACCCCATGAACCCCATGAACCCCATGAACCCCATGAACCCCATGAACCCCATGAACCCCATGAACCCATGAACCCCATGAACCCCATGAACCCCATGAACCCCATGAACCCCATGAACCCCATGAACCCCATGAACCCCATGAACCCCATGAACCCCATGAACCCCATGAACCCCATGAACCCCATGAACCCCATGAACCCCATGAACCCCATGAACCCCATGAACCCCATGAACCCCATGAACCCCATGAACCCCATGAACCCCATGAACCCCATGAACCCCATGAACCCCATGAACCCCATGAACCCCATGAACCCCATGAACCCCATGAACCCCATGAACCCCATGAACCCCATGAACCCATGAACCCCATGAACCCCATGAACCCCATGAACCCCATGAACCCCATGAACCCCATGAACCCCATGAACCCCATGAACCCCATGAACCCCATGACACCCATGAACCCCATGAACCCCATGAACCCCATGAACCCCATGAACCCCATGAACCCCATGAACCCCATGAACCCATGAACCCCATGAACCCCATGAACCCCATGAACCCCATGAACCCCATGAACCCCATGAACCCCATGAACCCCATGAACCCCATGAACCCCATGAACCCCATGAACCCCATGACCCCATGAACCCCATGAACCCCATGAACCCCATGAACCCCATGAACCCCATGAACCCCCATGAACCCCATGAACCCCATGAACCCCATGAACCCCATGAACCCCATGAACCCCATGAACCCATGAACCCCATGAACCCCATGAACCCCTGAAACCCCATGAACCCCATGAACCCCATGAACCCCATGAACCCCATGAACCCCATGAACCCATGAACCCCATGAACCCCATGAACCCCATGAACCCCATGAACCCATGAACCCCATGAACCCCATGAACCCCATGAACCCCATGAACCCCATGAACCCCATGAACCCCATGAACCCCATGAACCCCATGAACCCCATGAACCCCATGAACCCCATGAACCCCATGAACCCCATGAACCCCATGAACCCCATGAACCCCATGAACCCCATGAACCCCATGAACCCCATGAACCCCATGAACCCCATGAACCCCATGAACCCCATGAACCCCATGAACCCCATGAACCCCATGAACCCCATGAACCCCATGAACCCCATGAACCCCATGAACCCCATGAACCCCATGAACCCCATGAACCCCATGAACCCCATGAACCCCATGAACCCCATGAACCCCATGAACCCCATGAACCCCATGAACCCCATGAACCCCATGAACCCCATGAACCCCATGAACCCCATGAACCCCATGAACCCCATGAACCCCATGAACCCCATGAACCCCATGAACCCCATGAACCCCATGAACCCCATGAACCCCATGAACCCCATGAACCCCATGAACCCCATGAACCCCATGAACCCCATGAACCCCATGAACCCCATGAACCCCATGAACCCCATGAACCCCATGAACCCCATGAACCCCATGAACCCCATGACCCCCATGAACCCCCATGAACCCCATGAACCCCATGAACCCCATGAACCCCATGAACCCCATGAACCCCATGAACCCCATGAACCCCATGAACCCCATGAACCCCATGAACCCCATGAACCCCATGAACCCCATGAACCCCATGAACCCATGAACCCCATGAACCCCATGAACCCCATGACCCCATGAACCCCATGAACCCCATGAACCCCATGAACCCCATGAACCCCATGAACCCCATGAACCCCATGAACCCCATGAACCCCATGAACCCCAATGAACCCCATGAACCCAATGAACCCCATGACCCCATGAACCCCATGAACCCCATGAACCCCATGAACCCCATGAACCCCATGAACCCCATGAACCCCATGAACCCCATGAACCCCATGAACCCCATGAACCCCATGAACCCCATGAACCCCATGAACCCCATGAACCCCATGAACCCCCATGAACCCCATGAACCCCATGAACCCCATGAACCCCATGAACCCCATGAACCCCATGAAACCCCATGAACCCCATGAACCCCATGAAACCCCATGAACCCCATGAACCCCATGAACCCCATGAACCCCATGAACCCCATGAACCCCATGAACCCCATGAACCCCATGAACCCCATGAACCCCATGAACCCCATGAACCCCATGAACCCCATGAACCCCATGAACCCCATGAACCCCATGAACCCCATGAACCCCATGAACCCCATGAACCCCATGAACCCCATGAACCCCATGAACCCCATGAACCCCATGAACCCCATGAACCCCATGAACCCCATGAACCCCATGAAACCCCCATGAACCCCATGAACCCCATGAACCCCATGAACCCCATGAACCCCATGAACCCCATGAAACCCCATGAACCCCATGAACCCCATGAACCCCATGAACCCCATGAACCCCATGAACCCCATGAACCCCATGAACCCCATGAACCCCATGAACCCCATGAACCCCATGAACCCCATGAACCCCATGAACCCCATGAACCCCATGAACCCCATGAACCCCATGAACCCCATGAACCCCATGAACCCCATGAACCCCATGAACCCCATGAACCCCATGAACCCCATGAACCCCATGAACCCCATGAACCCCATGAACCCCATGAACCCCATGAACCCCATGAACCCCATGAACCCCATGAACCCCATGAACCCCATGAACCCCCATGAACCCCATGAACCCCATGAACCCCATGAACCCCATGAACCCCATGAACCCCATGAACCCCATGAACCCCATGAACCCCATGAACCCCATGAACCCCATGAACCCCATGAACCCCATGAACCCCATGAACCCCATGAACCCCATGAACCCCATGAACCCCATGAACCCCATGAACCCCATGAACCCCATGAACCCCATGAACCCCATGAACCCCATGAACCCCATGAACCCCATGAACCCCATGAACCCCATGAACCCCATGAACCCCATGAACCCCATGAACCCCATGAACCCCCATGAACCCCATGAACCCCATGAACCCCATGAACCCCATGAACCCCATGAACCCCATGAACCCCATGAACCCCATGAAACCCCATGAACCCCATGAACCCCATGAACCCCATGAACCCCATGAACCCCATGAACCCCATGAACCCCATGAACCCCATGAAACCCCATGAACCCCATGAACCCCATGAACCCCATGAACCCCATGAACCCCATGAACCCCATGAACCCCCCATGAACCCCATGAACCCCCATGAACCCCATGAACCCCATGAACCCCAATGAACCCCATGAACCCCATGAACCCCATGAACCCCATGAACCCCATGAACCCATGAACCCCATGAACCCCATGAACCCATGAACCCCATGAAACCCATGAACCCCATGAACCCCATGAACCCATGAACCCCATGAACCCCATGAACCCCATGACCCCATGAACCCCATGAACCCCATGAACCCCATGAAACCCCATGAAACCCCATGAACCCCATGAACCCCATGAACCCCATGAACCCCATGAACCCCATGAACCCCATGAACCCCATGAACCCCATGAACCCCATGAACCCCATGAACCCCATGAACCCCATGAACCCCATGAACCCCATGAACCCCATGAACCCCATGAACCCCATGAACCCCATGAACCCCATGAACCCCATGAACCCCATGAACCCCATGAACCCCATGAACCCCATGAACCCCATGAACCCCATGAACCCCATGAACCCCATGAACCCCATGAACCCCATGAACCCCATGAACCCCATGAACCCCATGAACCCCATGAACCCCATGAACCCCATGAACCCCATGAACCCCATGAACCCCATGAACCCCATGAACCCCATGAACCCCATGAACCCCATGAACCCCATGAACCCCATGAACCCCATGAACCCCATGAACCCCATGAACCCATGAACCCCATGAACCCCATGAAACCCCATGAACCCCATGAACCCCATGAACCCCATGAACCCCATGAACC